GCAGCCAATACGCTTCAAAAAGTGTTCCACATAAGTTGCCAGAAAGTTTGAACCACGGTCAGTTAAAATGTAGGAGGGTACACCAAAGTCCTTGACCACACAATCGAATAGAAAATCAGCAGTAGTAGTTTCGTTAATATTGGGCACCGCCGCCACCACAGGCCATTTCGTAAGATAATCAACGGCTACAAGAAGATATTTGTTTCCCAGTCTAGATTCGTTCACCGGTCCAACAGCATCGACACCAATCATATAAAATGGATGAGGAGGGGCAGGTATCGGTCTTGCTGGTTCCACCCTTACATGCCTTCTTCTTGCTCTTCGTTGACATGTGTCGCACGATTCCACCAGGTCTTTCACCCTTTGATATAAATGGTACCCGTCGAATTCCAAACGTAGTCTTCGCCATGTGTTGGTGACGCCAAAGTGTCCTTCGTCGTGTACTTTTAGTATTACTTCGTCAGCGTTACCGGTGTGTAGGACTTCTTGCAGAGTTTGGCCAGCTCCATTCTTTGTAAACAGCCTTCCAGAGATAGATATATACCGCCTGGCCATCGTTCTAATTGATCGTCTTTGTTTTTCCGTGTTGCAACCGATCGGGAAGGTGTTATTGGTGAGGTAATTCGATAGGGCGATGTACCTTGCGATATCCATTTTGCACTTCTGTTTCCGGTCTACCCGTGGGTCTGACTGTTTCCGTGTCGATCGTTGTTGTTGTTGTTGTTGTTGTTGTTGCTGTTGTTGCTGTTGTTGTCGTTGTTGTTGTAGTTGTCGTTGGTTGTATGTCGTTGTCGTTGTGGTTGTAATGTTCATGTAATTCTAATCTAAGGGGTTTCTATTCTAAAAGGGGTTTCTAATCTAAGTGAAAAATTTCTAATCTACAAGGAAGCAAACCGACTTGCTTGTCACCATTTTTTTTTTTTTTTTTCATGCCTTTTTTTTTTTTTTTTTTTTTTTTTTTTTTTCAGATCACTTTTTTTTTTTTTTCAGATCGTTTTTTTTTTTTTTTTTTTTTTTTTTTTTTTTTTTTTTTTTTAACAATTCACAATTCATCACCATCCACACATACATCCAGAGAGTTCACATCATCATCAATCAATCGAGAGAGAGCATCAGCAGGATTCTTGCTTCCAGGTCGATATCGCACTTCATAATCATATTCCATTAAAGCTGCTGCCCACCTTGCCAATTTCGCACCGGGTTGAGGATTGTTGAAGATATACTTGAGTGCTGCATGATCGGTGTACAAGATAAATCGTCGTCCAGCCAAATAGTGTTTATAATGGTTCACGGCCCAGACCACTGCCAATGCCTCCAAGTGTGTAGTACTGTAATTCACCTCCGCAGGCTTCAGAGATCGAGATCCAAAAGAAATAACCGTTTCGCCTTCGGAAGAACCATCCGCAGATTGAGATAAAATAGCCCCCAGACCTTTCCCAGAAGCATCACTTGTAAGTATTTGCACCATATCCTTGCTCGGGAAGCTTAGCACCGGTACCGAAGTCAATATAGCCTTGATTGCATCAAATACATCCTGCTGAGTCTTGTTCCAAATAAAGCCTTCGTCCTTCTTTGTCAGAATAGTGATCGGATTCATCAGCGTAGCATAACTTTGAACGAAGCGCCTATAATACCCAGTCATTCCCAAAAAGGAGCGCACATCGTCCTTGTTACGTGGTACCTTCATCTTCATGATTTTGTCTGTGTTACGCTTGTTCGGCTTCAATCCAGCTTTTCCAATTTCGTGGCCCAAATATTCAACGTTCGCTTGCATGAACACGCATTTTTTCTTCTTCAGCCGCAGCCCATATTCCACACAGAGATCAAATACCATAGCCAAATGTTGCAGATGTTCTTCGATGGTTCTTGAGTATATGATGATATCATCGATGAACACATGCACACAAAGTCCAATCAGTTTACCAAGGATCGTCGTTACCATTCGTTGAAAAGTGGCAGGAGCATTCGTCAAACCAAAAGGCATCACTAGAAATTCATACGTTCCATACTTCGTAGTAAATCCCGTTTTTGCAATTGAATCGGCAGCCATTGGAATTTGCCAGAACCCTGAGGCTGCATCCAACGTTGTAAATATATTGGCATCACCAATGGAGTCAATGATATCATCGATATGAGGCAAAGGATACGAATCTTTCACGGTAATCTTGTTTAGTTTTCGATAATCTTGGCACAAACGCAGATCGCCAGTTTTCTTGTCCACGAATATCACAGGGGCAGACCATACACCATCAGAGGGTCGAATCAAGCCTTGTTCCAATAGGTCATCCAGCGTTTTCTTCAATATAGCATCTTGTTCCCATGTCATCCGATAAGGTTTACTTGTTATTGTATCATCGGCGGTTGTCTTGATATGATGTTCGAAACCATTGACACGACCAAGTCCAGCATCTTCCACAAAGAGAGTTCCATAATTTGCCAAGAGGAGTTTCAATTTAGGGTCTACAAATTGGTTAGTGGTTTCGTCATTTTTTATTTTTTCGCTTGTATTTTTTTTTTCTTCCTCTTCGCCCCAATACAATCTTTCTTCTCCTTTCACTGTCAAACGATAAACTTTTGCATTCTCTAGTTCCATACTTACCTCATCACCATACACCACAATCTTTGCTTTGCTATTCTTCTTAAGCGGCAATTCCACCTTTGATTCACTTGGATAAGCAACAACTTCGTACTGTTTCAACCATGGCATACCCAATATAAGTAAGTCATCGGACCGTTCTTGCACCACAAACATATCACTTCTGACGTGTCCACCAATTGTTACTTTTACTGATTCGCAGATACCACCAGGTGCGGTCACAGTTTGGTCCATGTTTTCGACTGAAACTTTCATCTTCTTGTTTACGGCCAATCCCAACTTATTCACCAGTGTAGAACTTATCACCGAAACGGACGCACCAGTGTCGACGACGGCCTTCAATTCTTCTTCATTGATTTCCACAGGTATAGTAAATGGGATAGATTGTCGCAAAGTGTTCACCTTGTATGCATGTTGTTCGCTAACGTAGTCGTCTTCCATAGTTGCATAGATCGATCCTTCCACGTCGGAATCAATTTCTGAATATTCCTGGTCGCTTGACAATTCCGATTGCACTTCTTCAAAATCATCATCCCAGTCGTTCGAAGTTGCCAAAGGATTTACGTTATGGACGAAAGCAGTGGAATCAGGATTTGGGGGAGGCTTCACGTTTCTTCTTCCATGTAGGTGTCTAATACCCGCCATCACGTTGCTTGCGAAAGGTTTATTCAGCTTGATCAATTGCGCCAACGAAATTTCCGTCTTTGTCTCTTTCAACAATTCCCAAGCATCCAAATCGTCAACATCCACTTCAATCTTCTTCACAGGCTTCCTTTTTTGTTTCACCACAGGCGGGTCAACCGGCACCAATTCACCATTCTTGTTTGCGACACCTCTTCTCTTCTTGGGCGGTTGGCTGTTCCACACCTTCACACCTTGTACAGCATACGCGGGTCTTACTTCAACTTCGGTAGGTCCTACGTTGTTAGTGCTGTAATATGGGATATTTTTTTCTTCCTCATTTTTTTTTATTTTATTTTTTTCTTGGACAATAGGGTTCCCACTTCCTATTGCCCCTTGCCTTTTCCCGACTCTTCACTTACTTCTCTGTTGGGACAATGACGACTCATGTGGCCTACATCCCCGCAATTATAACAGGCAAAACGTGCCATCGGTTGTTGTTGGTAACGTTGGTGCTGTTGGTCTTGCTGCTGGTGCTGGTACTGTCTCGGTTGTTGCTGATAGTATCGTTGTTGGTCTGGATGTTGCTGCTGCTGTTGCTGATACTGCTGTTGTTGGTTCACTAGGAACACCTGTAGATTCTTGAAGTTCTCCACAAGGCTGTCCATGCTGTCCTTCATAGAAAACTCGCTATCTTCCTTTTTAAAATTTTGGTGTCTAGCCAAAAGTAGATTATCTTTAGTAGTTTTTTTTGTGTAGTCATTATTTTCTTTTTTTGTTAATAAAGTATTATTATTTTTTTCAATTTTATTGTCCATGTTTTTAATATTTTTATACTTATAGAAAAGCGTTTCTGCTTTTTTTACAAACTTCATTGTCGTTATGTAGTCCATGGTTCCTTGTTTTTCAACTTCGTAAGCAAGGTCGGGCTTCAGTGCTTTAAGGAGATGACGCTTCTTCGTCTTATCGTCAGTGACATCCAACCGGGCGAAAAGTTCTTCCAATGTTAATTGCAATTCGTTCACTGTTGATTCGCCTTGTTTAACGTTCTCAAGTTCAGACCACCAGGCTTCTTCAATGTCCGCCGAAATAAAAAAATCTTGGAATCGAATCTTGAAAGTGGACCAGTTCTTGACATTTTTCTTTTCCATGTCCCACCAAGTGGCGGCGTTACCCTTCAAGAAGGTTGGAACAATTTTTAGGGCGTAGTAGTCCTCCATATCGACTGCTTCCATCCAGTTGCCGACATTTCGCAGCCATAATAAAGGGTTTTCGGATGGGTAGCCATAAAAACGGTCGGGCTTATCGACGTAGTGGTTTGGATTAAACGCTTTTGTGGCGACTTGCGTGTTTTCAATTTTGTTTTCCATTCAGGGCGGCGCAAATAAAAATTTTTTCGTTGGGGTGAGGTGTATAGCACGACAGTACAATAAAATAATAAAGGGACAATATAGCAGTTGTAGTACGCAAATGTGCCCAGGGGTTCTCCACCAAAATGATACGTGTGGTGCTTATAATATGATGTGAGGGTGTTCGGCAGTGGGTTCCAAGGTCGTATTACTTAACAATACGATATTCAACAATTCAAATAACAAAATCCAAAATAACAAATTCAACGTCGTGATCGATATACAGTTCAAGATAAAGATGTGTTTTATTTAGCTGTCAAAGAAAATAAAATAAATACTAAAAAAGGAACGGTCACTAGGGGAAATGGTCGGTCACACGCTGAATATACCGATCTGCTTCATATACAACGTGGCCACGTTTCATTTCAACGACTGTCACCTTGGTGTAGGGGTTATCACGCATGCTTCACACGCATGAGGCCGCCGGTTCGATTCCGGCAGGTGACATACTCTTTTGCAAAAGTTCGTCATTTTGCGGAGATTCACTACTGCTGATGTATCTTCTTTTGCTGTCGTATAGTTTTTTTCAAGCATTTATATGCTGGTGGTCAAAGGTCGAGTTTCATAGTTCGCGTGTAATCCTCTAGCACTTCACATACCAACTCACGGCTCTCTGGACTATTGCGACTAATTTTGGATGTTCGGCAGTAGTCTGGGTTCGTTTTTGTAGTGTTTTATTATATAGAGTGAGCACCAGAACTTTTTATGGTGAAGTTCAACCAGTTGTAAAGAGAAGGAGAAAAAATAAAATTGATTTGAGGATTCAAAGTCCGTTCAGGGGAATTATTTCTTCGAGAGAGGAATAATTATAACATATAGTGTATAGACTATAAAAGTCAAAAGTTGATCATTATGATGAAATAGAATAAAATATAGACTTAATAGTCAAAAAATATGTTTGTAGTAATAAATATTCCTATGTTGGAACAATAATAGCATTAGTAAATCAGATAGTTGGTGGTAAAAGAAACCTTTGTACCAAGTTTTATTTGAGAGGGTGTTGAGAAAACTGAAAAAACTGAAGGAAAATACTAATATTTGTGGGGAAAGCTTCCCGTTTTATACCAAGTCTTTATAAAAAAAAAAAAAACTGGAATCGAAATGCTCTCCAGAATCTATTTTATCTTTGTTTTAACCACTATGTATGATTTTGATAGAATTAGGCACTCCTGCCCCTTTGCACCTTAATAAACAATCCGTTAAGACCTGGCTGTTTTCAGTTCTGTCATCTTTTTTTTTTTTTTCACTGTATTTGAAGAAAAAAATAAACGAGCTAAAGAAATACAGGCTGTCTGATCCGAAGGCTATACTGGTAGCATGGTCGCGCGACTGCTTAGTATGAATGGCTAAACAGGAATAACAACGACACATTTCTATATTATGACCTGGAACTAACCAATCAGTAGCTCGGGGAGGAAAATGGCGTACAGCGTTAAAAAAGACCGTTTGGTATACTCGTATGCATGATGGATCAGTCATTAAAAAAAATCAGGTGTTTTTTTTATCATTATGACAATATGTTAACTAGAGCGCAAGGAAAAACGCTCTATAATATATCGGTGACTGCACTAACGGGATTGTCTAGGTCCATTCATATAATTGATTGATTAATTTAATAATAAGGCGACGATTGATAAAAGTGACTTTCGATTGTCGAAATTCGCATCTGGGAAAATGCTTATAGTAAGCGGCATTAGAAAAGTGGGTGTATGGCAGGCACTCACAGAAAGAGCCACAATAATGGCGTTAATATTTATCAAATGGTTCAGAGGAAGGTTAATAAAAAGGGTAACATCTCATTTGGTAAAAATACTAAGCTAAAAGCGCGAGAGTCATTATTAGAAGGGGGTGTCTAATGGGCATGGCTTGAGGGACTTGTGAGATTTGAAGCATAATTAACACGAATCTAAAGGGGTGACTGTACAAGGCAGACAAGACTTGAGAACGATTATATATGGATATCTTTATTGAAAAATAGCAACTACCAACGCTAATCTAAATGTGGAAACTTTAAAAGTAGTCTAATACAATTTATAAGGCGGAACAAGACATAATAAAGACTATAAATGACTATTTTTCATTAAAGCATAGCAATTGAATTGTCGACACTAATCTAAAGGGGCGACAATAAAAAAGGATCTATTGTACAAGATAAGAATGAGACATAAAACGCATTTCACTGAAGCATGCAAAAGAGGCATAGTTTATTCAAAGATAGGTTCAAACTATGTAAAATAGAACTAAACTAATGGGACTCTAAAAAGCCAACTATTGGTGTCTCCAGATTCTAGATTCAAATTGGAAGGGTTTCCCCATGCATCTTGTCATCCCTGTTCTGAAAACCCTTCCAATCTAGTCCTGAAGCTAATCTAAGTCCAGCATGACCTCAAGGAAGTTCCATAGTTGAAGGGGGAAGAGAAAGAAAGGAAGAATAAAAAAAGGCGGAAAAAAAATTGGGAGTAAATAAACAAACATTCACGTGGGCGGAAATTGAAAATCCTTTGTGGTCGCTCTTGTGAGGAGTGAGGTTATGATTTTTTATTTTTTAATAGTGAACACAAAAAAAGGAAACCCCTTTTCTATTTCTATTTTGCGTGTCTTCTTTTATTTGCAACACTCGACAACACACAACATGATTCGCATGATAGTTCTGTTCTCATGACAATAGCCTCCTCCATTCAACATTGTATTTTCACTTCTCATGAAACCAATCGGTAAAAAGGTGGCTTTAATTTTCTTCTTGATTTTGCCAGATTGAGATAAATGTACTGCATATTTGGTACTCTGGTAATCGGTATAAAAACGATTTATCGTAAATATCATTTCCTTGCGGTGATGATATACCCCCACGATGGTATTTTATACTAATCATGGTTATTCAGAAAAATATAGGATATCTCGACTTGGTGTAGTCATTTTCACATTGAGTTAACCTTGGATTTTACCTTTAGTTTTGTTGATTTGATTAGATTCTTTCAATAAACTTTTTTTTTCTTTTTTGTATCTTCCGAGGAACTCCTTGCCGACAGGTCAAAACCCAAAAAGGTGACAGACAGGTCAATAAAAAAAACCCGACGCCTGCTTTTTTATTTGACATCAATTTTCTCTGATGACACTGATTTTGATATTCGAAGCATGTAATTCCGGAAACGCTGTAATGTACTAATTGCATAAACTTCTTTTTAAAGCGACAAATATTGTACAGATACTCAAGCCAAAAAAAAAAAAAAAAAAAAAAAAAAGAAAGGATCAGTAAAACATTAAAACACCGATGCACATGATATTTTCCGGGCATCGTTCTTGCTTTACTCCTCAGGAACAAATATGACTCCGTTGTATGTACCGTGATAAACAATCATCGCAGTGAACGTTTTGACAGTCAATATAAATAGGCTTGAAAAATGCATACTGCTTTATTTTCACTTTTTTGTTCTTGATAAAAAAAGGCGGACAACGATGGATGTGATTGATGATGCTCATTCGTTTCCTGCTGAAGAGAGTCAAATCAGTGAAGGTATTTCATCCCCACTCTACAGATGTACACATACACAAACATACACACACAAGCTTATAAAGACATAAAAAGAAGGAATAATGCTAATTTTTATTCAAATGATAATTAATCTACACTACTAAAAATAGAAGTATTCTACCAGCAACAGCTAATGGATGATCCCGAGATGGAACAACAGCAGCAGTGGCAGCCATCAGAAGACAAAGAAATGACATACCAGCAGCAGATAGTGGATGACCGTAGCACAATGCCGGAAGAAGACCCTACCATGACAACCCAAGCCAATCCCACTGATGAATTACCACTGGATGAACCAGATCCGATGATGGAGTTCACTGAATATGATGCAACCCGGACACCATCATCAGAAAATGAGAGGGTGCCAAACCCAGAACAGCAGGAGCCCATCGTCGAGTCATCATCATCAGCACCAGAAGCAGAAACAGAAGCAGTAGTAGCGACCCATGAGAATCCATCCTTAAAACAAGATGATAATATTACAAAACAAGAGGTGGAGGCCGTGTCTGAATCCAAAAGCCAACAACAAGCTTCTAGTACTGAGACCATCAGTCAAGCAGTTGATGATAAGGAGGCTGTCGTCGTAAAAAAACAAGATATGCCACAAGAATCTATCATAGAACAACAAGGTACCTTGGAGGAGCCCATGAAACAGAGATCACCACCACCCATAAAGCAGCAAGCAGCAGCAGCCCAAGTCAAAGCGACCTCTTCATCCCGTGTTGTCGCCGAAGCAACAACCATGACGCATACACCAATAAAAAAGAAAATCGCCAATAAGGTCGACCATCACAGTAGCACGCATGGAGGAGGAGCAGGCAAAAAACCGTCGGCGGTGCCTACATCGATTCCAGGAGCAGCCCCAGCCCCTCGTCGTCAACAGGAAAAACCACCTTCAGAGCAAATGCCAAACATTCCACCGGGAGGACCACCACCCCGCCCACAACCAAAAAACGTCCCTGCCAGACCAGACCAACCACGCGCACCGCCTGCCAAACCCTCGTTACCACCTGGCACCGATCTTGAATCCTTGGGTCGCATAGGTGTGTTTGGTGAAGTTGCATCATCGTCATCGTCATTGGTCACGGTCATGCCATCCTTGCAGATCCTTTTCATTGGCTTGTTTTCCATTTGGTTCATCCTTGTGGTAAAACGATCATGATGGTAGAAAGGTGCCTATACAGATGTTTTTTTTTTTTTTTTTTTGAAAAAAACATAGTGAGTTGATTTGTTTCCACCGCCCCCTTCACATATTGTCCAGTTTTAGTATTACCTTTAGTTTCGATGCCAAACATTAGAATAAGCAATAAAAAAAAAAAAAAAAAAAAAAAAAGAGACGTGCCCTTTTTTAATAACATTTCAAATACCGACTCGGCTCCAACAAAATAAAGTACTTCTTGGGTCTGCCGCTTCTGTGTAACGATCTAGCCATTTTCGCCAAGAAGAATAAAAAATGATGATGGAATATGATGATTTTTATTGTATTGTATTAATAAAAATAAACTAGACAATGATACTAATGATAAAATAGCAAAACTAAAAAAATAAAATGACTACAAGGAAATGTGAATATATGATAGTATAAAAACCCCGTAACTAAACTATTCGTCTTTTGAATGAGGCACATCTATTGAATGGGAAGGAAGAGGAGATGCAGCAATGTCATTGTCGTGTTCTTGTACCAGATGGGGAATATGACGTTCAGCAGAGGACGAGGGCTGTGTGGAACCCGATTGATTTTGTTGAGGATATTGCATCGGGTGGTTGGCCATGTATTGATAAGGAGCCGCATAAAAGTCATGATCTTGATAATAATCTTGCGGTTGTTGCGGTTGCTGCTGAGGAGGCCGTTGTGAAGGTGAGTAATAACCAACGCTATTTCCATCCTCCTCCGATCCAGACGAAAGATGATGAT